CTTTGGTCCCTCCCCTTGTCAAATTTTCTAGATCAGCCCATTCATCCTCACATTTATCCACACACACACACAAACAAAAATTTAAAAAATTTTTTTTTATTTAGTCATGTTTATGAAAACAGAAAAATATTCCAAATTTTCAAGTGTATTGAAGATATGTTATTTAAAATAATAGAAACTTGAATTAATTAATGAAAAAATACGAAATTAGTTTGTATGAATATACATGGGATTTCCAATTTGGTATGCACCATGGACTCACATTACACATCTATGTTGTGTGGGTAGGTGTCCGTGCTAGATGTGCATGTAAAAAGATGCTCTCTCATACAGATAATATGCACACACACACACATATATATATATATATATATACATACATGTATATATATATATATTATTTATGTTTAAATATATGTAATAATACATACGCTGGTATGTTCATGCATTCGTAACGTATGTAGGTATGTAGTGGGTATTTGTTCATGCATGGTATGCACGGTATAATGGAACGCTGTCGGCTTTACAACTAATCTCTATAATCATACATAATCGCTATACATAATGTTTTGTCGGCCTGAGTTCCCACTCATGATTCATGCAGCATGCACACTCCTCCTCCCTTCGTTCGTTGGCTGGAGGGAGGCTGTTGATGATGTTAAAGATGAGCAACAAGCTAACATCTTCCACATTTGTTCTCCCCCCTCTCTTTCTCTCTCTTTCTGCTTGCCTGTCTGTTGATGATTTTATCTAATCTAACATTCATTCATGCATGTGTGTGTGTGTGTACGTTTTGTTCCAAGCATTCATATTCCACTCTTCCTTTCATGCACGCATGCCCTGTGGCTCAGATGATCAGATTCTGTTGTGGAACATTCTAAAGCATATCCGTTGTGTGGCTCTTGGTATGTCTTTGTGTTCAATATTGCATCAAATTAAATGTTCTGCAGGGAGTGAAGTTGTGTTTTACAATTTCAAGTTATGATTGTATGCACGTGTAGTTCAATGCTGAATGGTGCTGTGCGTTGATATCTCTTCTAGATTTGATCTTTTCAGTTTTTCACTCAACTCAACTCAGCCGCGATGATGCAAAATTCTGTACATCTGCACAAGTGCTTGTTTTGAATTTTTTAATACAGTTTGAACAGCTTGCAAACAAAACAAGGCCCTTAGTAATTTTATATACGTGTACACAGTTTTGCATCATGATCAGGATAAATTAAATCAAAAAAATCAAAAATCAAAGTGAGAGAGATCACGATGCATGTATTATCGTTCTGCCCCAACTGCATCTGAACAGAGCATCGTTCAAATACTCTTAAAAAACTCGCAACATGTATTTATCATAAAATTGGAGCTAACATATTTCTCCATCAAATACTCTGTTGCCTGCATGATTAATTATTCTCCGTTTGATGTTACATCCCGGATGTGCCGTGAGGAGCATTTGTCTTTTTATCTCGATCCTATCTTGATAATATGTCATTTGAATATTCATTCACTACTGCACTCACTAACATTGTCATTTGACGAATTTATTAAATATAACATCAAATTTTAAACATTGTATAAAATTTTTTATATACCAATTTAAAGATATTTAGTGTAAAAAAGCCATTTGCAAAATGTCATAAACATAATTTTTATCAATATTTCTTCAATTTTTAATAAAAAAAGATTTAGTCAAATCGGACAATCAATTTTTTATTTGAACATCTTTTTGGTTAATGATGTCATCATCTTATTTTCATAAATTTTTGATATAACTTTTCTGGTTCAGTGACAGTTAGGAAAGAATGAATTACTTGTTGAGCAAGTCTGGTAATAATTTGAAATTAAAAGTATTTTAATGCGTGCCCTCGAGTTAACAAACAACTAAACCTTTCTTTCAAGTTTTCTAATTTTTCACTCTTATATTTTCAGTTTTTTTGAGTCAGCGTTCCGACAGAACTATACAGTCATGTGCTGAACTTTTTCATATATGGGCAGAATTCAAACACTGCACGCTCGGCACGCTTTTTATTCTTATCTAACCAATAAAAATTAATGAATTTTTTCAATAGCGTTGATAGATAAGTCCAGGCTAGAATTTGGTTCATTTTCATCTATATTCAAAATTTTTGGCAGCAATTGTTAATTCACAGTCATAATTAATAAATGTTAGTCGAAAATAGGAGAATCTCTGACCCGATTAAACAGCTTTTTTGGTTTTTAGATCTTTTTTGGTCCAAGTTAATGAACAAAATAAGACTTGTTTGATAGAATTTGGTTTAGTTTGTGTGAACCTTTGGTGGTACGAGTGTCTAGTCCGATTAAACGGTGCTCCGATGATCTGACTATCTATAATTAATATATAAAATAATATTATATATGAAAATATATGATAATACATTCATTTGATTATTTATAGAGATTCGAGGAGTAATGATATGATTGCATTCGTGAACATGTTCACATTCACATGTGGTAATATAAACGCTTCATGCTTAAACGCTCATACTCAAGGGCTTTCAATCTTTCACGGTATTCTCTTCATTCATTCATTCATTCATTCATTCATTCATTCATTCATTCATTCATTCATTCATTCATTTTTTATTGATTCTCTAATTCATTCGTTTATTTATTTATTTTGTCATTCCTTCCTTGTTTCCGTTCTTCATTCATCCATTCATTCATTCACTCATAAATTTTATTAATTTATCAATTTAGGAGATCTTAAATTTGAATCATTTGTTCTTTTCTTTCTTTCTTTCACTCATTCCAATCGCTGATTCATTCATTTATTTAAACGTTCATTCACTCATTCATTTATTTTCTCTTGATTCGATACAGTTGTAAACATTTCAAGTGTCATATTGCTGCATACAAAGTTCATAACTACAACCAGTCAGTTCTGTTCATTATAATATGTACGGACTAAATAAATACAGGCAGGCATGGACCTGTGTGCATGTGCTGCTGCGCTTGTTTGAAGCCAACCACACACACCACACACATACATACACAACACACACACACACACACAACACTCACTCACACACAAATACACAACACACACACACAAACACACACTGAACATTCATACACCAACAAACACTGATATATTCGACCGCACTCAAAAATATTATAGGTATATATATGTATACATACATGAGACAAACATGAGTGAATAGCAGGAAAAGGAATGACACACACACGATGGACACTCACGTACCAACACATACACACAGACACACACACACACACACACACACACACACATACATACACACGCATGCCATAAAGAAGCAGTGTTGTTAACAATCACATGATATTAAATGGAAGCTAACGGCACGACCGGTACGGTTTGAAATGGAATATAGAAGATACGTCAACCAAAATCAACCAACCGACCTTCGCCTGCTACTTTGAGAAACTTCCAGCTGGTCACCCTCGCGAGCTCACTCACATGCAGTCGCAACGTGTGTCAAGAAATTAGATTACCATTACATCAAACAGTGTTTCGTTGAAATTATTTTAATCTTTTAAGCTCGTTTCACTGGTTTGTGATGTATGTGCAGTGTGCACTTGTGCAGTGTTGAATTAAAACGATGATGTAATTATTGAATTAAGCCACGTTTGTTTGTAAGACTGGGCTGGTTTATTCCATTGACAGCGAGGAAATATTGAAGTTGGGCACGAAGGTACTGTTCTTGAATGCTAATAAGCTGTTTACACAAGCACTGGAGTTCGTCAGATGTTCAGCTCTTGGATGTAGTTATACTGGATATTTAGATGTTTGGTAGCTGTTTACTATTTAGTTGTTTACATGTCTTAACAAATACAAAACTATAAAACAAAACGAACAAGTTGGTGTAGAATTATAAGATGGCACAACACGGACAAACACACATTTTTATTATATAAAATAATGTATGTTTAATATGTTACAAAAATTGTTTGTAAATACTTGACAAGAAGCAGTGTACATTTGCCCAAAGTTGTAAGTTAAGTACAGACAGACTATCGCTCATTATGATACCAGCTAACTAAAGTGTACGCATTTTTAATAACCAGTGTGTGAAAAGTCACGTGTAGCATGTTAATCAGTGAAGTGCCTGAGCTGCGGTGCTTGAATTTTTATCGTTTGTTTTGAGTTGTGTTAGCTGATGCTTCTTTCATGCACACACACACACACACACAAATTCATGCACACATACACTCGTTCATGCACATGCACACTTAATCATGCGTATACAAATACACAGAGTGCATGCAGAACGTACAGAAGAGAACGTATATAGTACGAGTACATGCACACGAGTGTATATGAATGAGTGAATGCATGCGCTTCATTGAGTTATAGATGCGTTGTAACAGGATGAACCTCTGTAATACTTTTTGGTGGTTACACTTAGCTTCTCTTCTTGTTCGTAGTCATTCATTTGAAGTTCTTTTTTTTAAATTTTTTTAGTTGAAATTATTCAAAAAACTTCAATGAGGTTAATTAAATGATTAACAAGTCGCATTCTTGTAATATTAATAAACGATGACATAACGTATAATAATTATAATGAAAAAGTTATTTTTATCATCATAGTGATAGATTTGATAGCAAATCATTGAAAAATTGAAAATAATTAACCTACTTTTCCAGATAAATTAATTATTAAAATTAAATTTACGTTCTTTTCAGCGATAAATTAATTTGTCAGTTTACTCATGAACTATTGAACGTTGAAACTGATTGGATTTTTGGATAAGACGTTTAGAATTTGTACAGGCAATAAACAAAAGCAAACAAAGCAACAAACGAACGATTTTGACATGGATGGTTCGCTAGTTTTGGAAGCATTAGGACTTCAGCCAGTTCCTCCAAACAACGCAAACGAAATCTCCACCTTAAAAATTGTTGAAGAACAAATGGAAGTAGAAGAGTCATCTGCTTCCAGGGTTCTTATTTCCACGGATGCATCGAGCACGGATACTACATCTACCACTGATAATAATGATGTAATTATCACACCTGCAGCTACCATCACTGTTGGTACTACCACTTATACAACTACCACCATTCCAACTACTGTTTCTAATACTACTACTACAACTACTTCTCCTATAAATAACAACAAAATTGTGATCATTGTAAATAATGGTAGCACAGCAAACCATACAGAAATAGACAAGAATAATATAAGTTTAGTTCAGTTGAATAACATTACAGAGCAAAGGACAAAAGGTTTTTTCCTTTTTAACATGGAAAAATAAAATTTTGATACACAAGTCCACTCCACTTCATTTCTATATGTTGAAATAATAATTGAACAACAAACAGCAGAAATGATGCCTGGCTCAAAGAATGTCAACCAGTATGGAAGGAAGTTCACGAATGGAAGACCACTACCTGATGATCTAAGGGTGCAAATTCTGAACATGGCTCTTCATGGAGTGAGACCATGTGAGATCAGCAGGCAGCTGCAGGTTTCTCATGGATGTGTCAGCAAAATTTTGAACAGGTTGGCATCATCATCATCATTCAAAAATTTATACAACAATAATGCAAAATAGCACTGTTTGCAATTGCTAACGAAATTTTATTGTTTATTTATATTAATAACTTAACAACTCAACCTTTTCAATATTGCTAAAAAAAATGTGTCACTGTCTATTGATAAAACAATAATAATCTCTGGTCATAATTTGAACCAAATTTAAAAATTTGAATATTTGTTAATTTGTCATGAAATCATACTATGAAAAAATGGCATTAAAAATACAAGATACAGAAAAACAGGGTCAATAAACCCTGGCAAAATTGGTGGCAGTAAGCCAAAAGTGACCACTCCAGATGTTGTGAACAGAGTGAGAGAGTGCAAGGCACAAAATACACAAATGTTTGCCTGGGAAATAAGACAGTGGTAAAACATTTTATTTGATATTTTTGTAAAAAATTTTAGTTTACTACAGACAAAAATTTCTATTGGTTTTAAAATTTTTTTGATTGTTAAATTTCATTCTAATTTGTCATTAGATAACACTAATTTAAAAAAATTACAAATTCAGTCTTGTTCAGGATGGAATATGCAGTGAGAAAAACATTCCCAGCATCAGCTCCATCAACAGGATAATCAGAGATAAGGCTGGGCAACAAAGAACAGGTTTCGAAAGATTTATTAACTCAGATGGACAAGAAGAGGTAGCATTTGTTTTTTTCTTCAAAATGTCAAGTCAATAAGCATTTTTAAACACTTGAATAAATGAGTATTGCTATTATAGACTGAAACACCTACGACTTCCTATTCAACATTTGAGCTCATTTTTGGAATTTTCAGAATTATTGATTGTCAACATAATGTTACTACTTTTTAATGGTACAATTTGGGCTATATGGCAGTAGTCCTTGCATGCTTTGCTACTTACTTGCCGCAACAATCCGTCGCTTATAAATTTTTTATATATTCTAAAGAGTTTTTAAACCATATTTCATAAATTTTTACGAGCTTGAACGGGTTCATGTTTTATATTGTGGAATTTTGTTCACTTGTGTTGAATCTGTTTGACAATGACACTGAACAAAAATTTGTTTAATGCAATCTATAATGAACTTGTTATTCTAACAAATTTTTATAAAAAACAATGAGTTGCAATAAAAGCGTTGAATTACACACAGATAATTAATTATGGAGACTGTTCGGATGAATATGATTCCGACAGAAGCAAGGACTCAACATCAACAACACCTGCTATCGCTGCTACAGACAACATTCTAACGACGGGTACCTCGTTTGAATCAGTTCTGAAGCCTCAGCGAAAGAGAAGATTCAAACCCAACGACGCACACGCAACAAAAACCACCGACGACACAAGTACTGGCCACAATAACAGTTTGTCTGTCTATCCGACGAGCCACATGTTACAGAGCACGTTCCAGTTATCCAATCGATTGAATGCAGTGAACTGTGCCAGTGATACAAGTGATTCAAAGAGTGCCTCTAATTTCTCACAAATTGCTTTGACTAATGTTCCTGTTGAAGAACATCAATCAGATCCCAAATCTCTTGCAACTGAGCACTACGTCGCCGAAGAACACGCACTTGATTTTTCAACTACCAAAAAAGAAATCTTCAATCATTCATTCCAAGATGATGTTACTAACGATGTTATTGATTTGTCTATTAAATCAAAAAATTGTTGTACCAAAAAAGAGTTTCTGTTACATGCATCACCAGTTGGTGATAACGGTGAAAACTCTTTCTCCGCTTCATCTTCTCCGCTAAATTTATCATCTTCCAATAAAACTCTTGACGTTAATGCATCTGACGATAATAAAGGAACAGATGCTTCACAAAAACTCATCCATGAAAACAAAAAGCGCAAAGTTCAGATTCTTCTGTTGAATGGCAAAGAATATGAAATTGTGCCTTTAGGCGACGAGAGGTGGATTTCCAAGAATGAATATGAATTGCTGCGAGGATTGAACCAATCGGCGACTTCGGATGACGCGCACACTTCGACGCAACATCAACATGCATCACAGATGCACGATGCTCCTGACGTTCGTTTAACGCAAACGTCCGATGAAGTTTCAAGCACAATTCAAATTTCCGTTTCTCAGAAGCATCCAAACGATACTAACCCTTCATCTAATGGCTTCAACAGTTTTGATGAGGATTCTTCTTCCACCATTGACAATTCTTCAAATATCGCCACAAACGAAGTCTTCTAACTTTAAATGCCAGTCGAATTTGAAATCACAATTATTTTGGTATTCATATATTGTATATAAATGTTTCTATGTTTCTTCAACTTTTTTTGTAATTTTCATTCAATTCGAATTCGAAAATAATTTCAGTTAAATATAAATGAGAAGATTGTTACTACATTTTTAAATTTATGTGATGACTTTCAATTTCAATAGAATTATAAAAATTTCCTATTTGCTTATTGAGTGTAGGAAGAAATATTTTGTTGTGATTATCTTTTTTTTCCAAATTTTATTACAGTATTAATTGTTCACAGGATCAGCGTTCATTTAATTTCATTTGGTTGAAGCTTTTTACAATAATTTTCAATTAACACTGATGTCATAGACAGTTTTCTATTTTTAAAACATTCTTGTTATTGATTGTTATGAAATAATATATAAAACCTTGTTAGTATTTTTTATCGTATTATTTATGCCACCAAAATTTTCAACGGGGAGTTTGGCATTTTGTTGTCGGCGAAATATATGTAAGTCAGATAGATTCCAGCCGATTTTGGAGTGAATGACACTTTGAATGATCTCGGCTGCAGTCTCTTTATGTCGTAGGATACTTCTCGTTTCTTGTCGTCAATCACAACCATGGAAAAATCCCCTTTTATGAGAGAAATACATGAAATTCGTTAATTACTTTCAAGACACTAATAAATAATGTTTTAATTTATAATTATGAAAGTTTATTACCTCTATCTGTTTTAGTTGCATCAACAGTGAACTCAGCAACTTGTCCAACTTTCGACTCACCAGAAATAGCTGGACCACTTATAGTCACTTGGTTTGGGTCGTGCACGTATATCTTATGAAATCAGTAAAGATAGTTTTAGTGGGTTTGTTGAAAAAAGATTTTGCTTCAAACATATGTGTATATTTAACAACAAATGTATCGAGTTTGTTACCATCAGACTTATGAAATAAAAAGTAAATACAAATAAAATAAATAGTATTTCAAATAACTGCAGGAATTAGGTAAAAACTCCAAACATATCACAAGACCAGCTTTATGACAAAATCTCTAAACGGCCGCTAATATTTAGCGGTCCAAACAAATTATAATAGTCACCTATTTAAAGTGCACACTACGCAATATATCCAAGCTGTTAAAATTGTAGAATGAATTGAAATTATTAATCCGGGATAAATTTTATGCGTGTGATTGCATTTTATTAAATGTACGTGTTATGTTGTGCTGTTCGTTCACATATGCTCAACAATTTACTAATTTCTTACTTGCTTGGTTTTATAAAAATTCTTAAAATAAAGGCTGTGGTTATAATAGATAAATACTGAATAAACAAAATGACTTGAATGAAATCCCTGACTTCGAACGGGAATGAAGGGATGACGACATCTCCAAAAGTCACAATGGCAATGTGTTTTTCTTTCTTACTGCATTTGAACTTAGCTATCGTAGTTCCATTTTTGTTATCTGTAACTGAGACGTCGATGGGCTTCTGTTTGTAATCGTACACAACGACTTTGACGCTACCCATACCAGCTGCTTTTGTGTCTATCAAGTATTCCAGTTCTTCTCCAAGGAACACATTATTTCTGAATCCCGGTCCAGATACTGTAGCCTGTATTTAAATATTACGATGAGGTTGTTATTAATTTTAAATTCTAAAGCCATCAAAAGTCAACTGAATGTAAACTAAACTTTGCGGCAGGTAGGTCATTAAATTGATTTGTTGCTGTTTAAATATAATATGGTTTTCTTGAATGTAACATTCACGGGCAGTTATTGGGCTTATTTTACAATTAGCACGTGAGTAGGTAACTGAGAAAAGTAAGTAAAAAAAGAAATTATAAAAAGGCTGGGTTATAAAAAAATTTGTATCCTAAAAATGTTAAATTGGAAAAATGAGATCGGGTAAAAATGACCGCAGGCAAGATATTTAGGTATTTGTATTTAGTTTATAAAAAAAACCCAAAATAGTAAAGTTAAATATATGAATAGGAAGTGCCGTTATTAAATAATTCTTTATTTTGTTTTCAACTTAAATCATATCTTGTTTAATCAAACATTATCAAACTTGTTTTGGTTCGAAATGTTCTGGTTTTGGTCTGACATTAACCACGAATGGCGAATTGGGAAGATGTTCTGAGTCGAGTGTGGTAAAGTGAATAGTGTATTCGCCTGGTGCAACTGGTTCGAATGACGTCATCGCAGTTCCGTCGTGTTCCTGGTAGACTCCTATCCAGCATTCAACGGGGCCGCAGACCGTATAACCTGTCAGTGGTCAACAACTTTTTTATATTTTTGTTCCTTAGTGCGTTTGCATTAATTTTTGTACTATTAAAAATATTTATTTAAAAAAAATATATACTAACGTATTTCAGTTTTTTTTCCAAAATTTTCAATAACAAATGCAGATGTGCATCCCGCTACACCTGTTTCCAAACCGGGTCCAAAAATTGCAACGTCTGAACTAGTCTTCGGGCCGACCTCAATATTGAACGGACTTCCGAACACATGCTCGTTTCCATAGATGATTGTCAGAATATATTTGCCGGCTACTTTTATTTCGTAAGTCACTTCGTATGTTGTTGGGTTGATCTGATTTGTAAAAAAGTTAGAGTAGGCACGTTCTGATATTTTTGATTACAAATAATTTATCTACATCGAAAGTTATAAATGCAAGAAGAAATGACAATATTATTTTTTTACATGAATGAAAATAAAAATTTGTATCAATTGTTGTTAAGCAGTAAGTCTGCTTTTTGGAAATCATATATTTCATTCATATTACTAAATCACTCATAAATGTGAACAAATGAAAACGGTTGGAGGTTGAAGATGGAAACGTTTAAGCTCCGAGTACCTGACGAACAGTCGTATCTTCCTGCTTACCTCCTCCAACGATCAAATGAGTTTTCAACTCCTTGCCAGGGCTGGCATTGATGTGAACAGTCAAAACTCCGAAATCACCGACACGCAAACCTTTTGCTTGCACTCCTCGTCCAGTCACGTACCCTATATTTGTTCATTTTGTTTATCATATCTTAATAATACTTTTTTTTCTTTTTTTTTGGTTTATTGATTCCTACGCAAACAACATTAAGATTTGACAGGACGTAACCGCTCGATTCGTCAAGATACAGAAGAAATTATGTTACCATGAAACATATGAAACATTTTACTTTCAAACATGAATTTAAATTTGTTACACAGTAAATATGATATTAATTATTTTTTAACTGAAATCTATGCTAGTTTTTTTTCTATAAAATAAAAAAGTTACCGATTTTGTGAGACTGAATTTGAGTGGCGATTGATGATGAAACCTGAACTATTGAATTTTGACTTGTCGTAGTAGAAGAAACAACTGAAGTAGATGAACTACTGGCAGTTACTTTCAACTTCACTTTTGGGAACTGTGATAGATAGGTGACCACACTCATCTCATCTACATTCGGATTTGTAAGTTCTACGGCTTTAATGAGCTTTAAAAACAAAAAAACCCTGCTATAAATATGAAGAATGTTCAAAAACGTTCAAAAAGCTAAATTAAACCTGGACAATATTAAGTTCTTTCTCAGCTATCGTCAAAGCTTTTGTCGCATTTTTAAGTGCATCGGTTTTGACCCACATTGTCCATTCCGTCAGCAGTCCTTATATGCATAAATTGATTGCACTCGTTGAAATGTGTTCATTATATCGATATCAAACTTGTTACAATTCAAAACATGGCGTTTAAGAGACCTGGTGATATAGCGTCTACGAGAGCCCCGAGTGCAATCCCACTGTTCCAATCTGTCGTAAAGTTTGTTATTTTCACTTTGGATCTTTCATTAATCCAAATCATCAGTCGGTTATTTGGAGAATCACTTTTTGTTGGTTTCGTTTTTTCTCCACTCCATACCACGGTTTGAAAGGAGTAATGTAGTATCAAGGTCCAGATCAGTCCGAGAATCAATGGAAGTTTGCTGTCGACGATTGCCGCGCTATCTTCGAAAAAATGTAAACGAAGCAATTAGAAAACAAAATGTTGAAGTCAAATTTTGTGTAAACCTATATTAACAAGTTTTATCTTTTCTTCTTTTTGAAGGAAGGTGAGCACGGTAGTAACATTTTCAAGCTTGTGTATTCTCATCTTAGGCGAAGTGACATACTTATTAAACTTTTTTCCACTGAGAACTTCCACCAGACTAATTAAAAGAAGACCATCAGAAAAATCATTTTCTAAACTGTTAACAGACTTCTGAACCGACGATAATTTGTCGTTGATCCATCTCTTGAAAGTGTTCTGTTGAATTTTCAGCCTCTGGTTGTCGGCGGTGTCGCTTAGGGAGACGCGAGACATTTTTGTGGTTAGGACGGCAACATCGACGAGAAGACAGATTTTAACACCAGAATTAAAAAAGCAAATAAAACTAAAACTGTTTTTGATGTTCACTGTACGGCATAAATTTTTTTAACATTTTTTAATAAAAAATAAACAGATAAACGTTGTTTATTGTTTTTTTCCTTTATTTATTTTCATTGGTTTAACGTGATGACATCATAAAAATTTTTAATAATATATAAAAAATGAAAATTATTTAGGCAAAATACATGGATATATATATATATATATATATATATATATATATATATATATATATATATATATATATAGTTAAATAAGAAAATAAACGAAGCATTAAAAAAATACTTGAGACAATTCACGAGATAATTTAAATTATTCAGACAAAACTTTATTAAATATTAAAAAGTCTGAGCGTTGTTACTGAGACGAAAATTCATATTCAAGATTCAACTGATGATTTCTGAAATAATAAGAGCTGCATTTTTCAATATTAAAACTTTTTTATTCTCAAGGAAAGCGGCAAATAAATAAATTCTTAGTTAAATTAAAATTGAAAACCTCAAGTAATCCTCTGAAAAATAAATGAAAGCACTAATGTTCATACCTACACACACGCACACAAACTTTTTTTTAAATACTCAAAATGGTCTACAATTTTTAATAATAATAAAAACCTCGTTCCAAATTATGTACATACAGAACATCCCCGAAAGGCCGTAACTGCATAAAAAGAATGCAAGGTTGGTACTGAGCGAGTATTTAAAACTTTCTTCTGATAGTGAGGCAGCTGATGAGACTCATGTTCCTTCAACTGATATTAAACTGATGTTACGTTCTGCGATTGTTTCTGTTAAAAAATTAATTTAATAAGGTTATAAGATATCGGTCATTTATTATAACGCGTTTTTATTGAAAATAACTTGTTAATAAACAATTAGAGTTCCCGTAAGTTCTGCACGTTATATATTATTGTAAAGTGTAAGGTGAATGTAGCACATGAATGCAGCTGTGGTTATCAATTTTTCTTTCTCTAAGATTACTTTACCAGATTTAGCTTTTATGCATCCAAAACCGGTATAAGCCCTTTTTCCACTGATTTTTTTGACGTTTTTATACATTTCATCTGTTATTGATCTTTTCAATGATTTTTGATTGTTTTTTCCAGTTTTTTGTATCTTTTAAGATTGCAGCCTTCTACTTTTTTTCGTTCACTCATCAGAGATACGATGTCATCCGTTATCCATTTCTGACCTCTCTTTGGTCTTTCACGGATATAAATCCCCTTGCAGATGCTGTGAGGGCATCTCTAAATATTTCCTATTTAAATTTTTTTACGTCTTCCGTCAATAGCTGAAAACGATTTCGTATTTCAACGTTATACTTGACCTTGATCATATTATTTTGTGGCAGACTGACAGAATTCAAACGTTTTGAACCACTTCATTTTTGATTTCCTTTAATTTTGATTCTTACTTTTTCTTTTCTTTATGCCTTCTACCATAGGTTAATAAGGTTTTTTCGCAAAATATTTTTTGTCAAGACTTGTTAAATAATAATTTACTAAAATTGAAAGAGGAATAATTATTATAACTAAAATATAAAACAGAACATTTTTAGTTGGCAGACAAATGTAAAAACAGAATAACAGCAACAAATTAGTTGCTAGTGGGCTAGTGTTAACTTACTAAAAAAAAACAAATAGAAAAATAATCTCACCTGAAACATCTCATCTAGATCAACCAGAATCAACGTGAAAAACGGTCGTTCCTCGATGTACAAACACTTGTACACCAATGAGTTCAATCCGTCCGTTTCAAATCGGGAAGTGCTCTTTTTCAGAAGATCAAATCTACATTAATTAATTACAAAATAAATTTATTAGAAATCTTCTGTATATAAATTAAAATCGAAATTATATGAAAAAAATATTGTCTTACTCAAATACAAATTATTCAATCTTATTTATCATGATATAACCAAAGAGAATGGACATGATGATACACTTTTGACTGGATGATATAGAGTAATATAGAGTATATTTTTTGCTTTATACGTGCTGGTTGTATTTTTGATTTGCTCTGTGGTTTCTTAAGTTTTGTTGTTTGTAGTTAATAGTTTTGACTCAATTTAGTTTTATTTGATAGGGATAATTTACATTTGTAGGGTGATATAATTTTTTTTTGTCGAAAATTTAATTGTAGCAATTTTTGATTTATTTAACTCTATTTTCGTTAAATTTAAAATTAATTTGTGTTTAAATTGGCGAAGTGGAAAGTTCTAAGCTTGTAATTGTTGTAGGATTGTTTGTACTGTACACGCGTTATAGCTTGGCAAACTTGTGTTGTTGTGTTGTGTCTTTTTTTTATCGTGTCGATTTTATAGACTATATAAACTCAAGAATTGTTTGAGTAGATACTGTTTACTGATCTAAAATTTTGTCAATTTATATCACACGTTTACACAACTTGTCGGCTTGGATAACGCGTTTACTAAAACTTCAATTAAACTTTCGATCTGGTGATGATGGCTGGTAAAGGAAGATCTACGAAAAATTCTAATAGCGATGCTCTACGATGTGAAAAGGAATCAACAGATGTTCAGTGTGTTTGTTGTGGGATTTCGTTTGCTGTCGGCATGACTGAGGAATCGTTAGAACTATTGAAGGCATGTGATAACGTCAAATTTGTGTGTGATGAGTGCTTGAAGTCACCATCAATAAAGGATCAGATCATCAAAACAGTTGAGAGTGGAAAAGCTGAGATATGTGACAAGATAAACAGCTTAAGTAAAGAGATTAGATCAGAAATCGATGCAATCAAGGTAAAATTGGAAGCAAATGAAGGCAAAATGTCTGGATTGGATGTCCCTGGATCAAAGCTCTGTGATGAGATTTCGAACTTTAGAAATGAAATGACCAGATCATTTGCTAGCGTGGTCAGTTCTGAGGTT